ATTAATCAGTCATTTGGTGCATTCTTCATAGACGGGTAAGAAAGTTGACTAGTTACTCTATTCTGCTAATTTAGAGGCGATTTATTACCCTCATCCATGGCATCTACACAAGAACCTTCCTCGTCTAGCCCCTCATGATCAAGGATTTGAGGCTCATATTCATCTACATCCGTCTTGTCAGTATTACCCGAATCTTCAGCCTTCAAGGCATCGCTATTTCCTAGTGCCGCTGTCTCTCCTTCAATCGCACCTATAGCCTCATCGTCAAAGGATCTGCTCGGTGGCAGTCCATACCAGGCTCGCAGACATTCGCTTGCTTCGATTATGTCTATCCCAAGTCGGGAACGACGGTCGCTCAGCAGGATTTTGGCGCTACTAAACAATCGTTCGCATTCATCTGACATGGCGGGGACAGCAAGCACGTCAAGTGCCATTTGTGCGAGGTAAGGCTGCGTGTAGTAGCGCTCGTTCCGGTACTGAATAGGGTCAAATAACTCGTCCTCACTGAGCGGGATAATATCCGTCTCGATGAACTGATCAAGTGGATCAACTCCATTGGCTTGAGGCCGGGACGGTCCCAGGGATGGACATCTTACGAACGGGAATCGAATCGATAGATTCATTCGATGCCAAGTCTTACGAATGTCGAATCGAATTTCTTGGCGTTCGATTCGATGTCGAATCTATAGTGGGTCTGTTCGATTGGCATCGAATCGAACAGGCCCCGTCTCATTCGATATTCGATTACGTCGAATCGAACGTGGCCCATTTCGTTCGATACACGAATCGAACCCCCCATGGCTATTCGACGTTCGAATCGCACGAATGGTCCTGTTCGATCGAATGGATCGAACAGACTGTCGTCGTCGACGAAAAGAGTTCGTGACGCGTTCGGCAAAACAAAACTAGACGCGTTAACGAGTGAGGCGACGCGACGGCAGCTGATGTGACCCATGCTAAATTGAGTGTTGTGAGAGCTACTAGGATATGTTAGCAAGTACATTCAACTACCACAAGTCTGCATGTAAGGCGAAGTATTCTACAACCTCTCCAATCATTTCCAGGGTCCGGAAAATTTCCATCTATTCAGCACTGATATTCGTAGTGGGCAAGTCTTTTTGTTGAAATCTATTTCTGAGCGTCGAAAAGATCACCAAAATGATATATGGGAGATATTGAACACAACGAATCATGTTTAGAAGATACTTAATCTTTATTGGTAGAATGTGCATGCTGCAGGTTTGATTTGATTTGATTTGATTG